ATTATCCCCACTTAAGAGAGGAGAAAACTGAGCCACAGAGAGCTGAGATAATTAGTCCACACTCCATAGCTCATGAATGGCAGAATTAGGTTTCAAGAATCTGGCCTCCGAGTGTGCACTCACCTCATTAAGCTCTCCTATCTGCCTGTTTATACCTAAAATAGCACTTAAAGCTAGTCACCCGTACACCCATGTAACCATTCTCTCTTGTTTTATTGTCTGGGAAACTAAAGGTGGCCTAGGGACATGTCCTGGTCAAGCAGCTCATTAGGAGGAGAGCTGGRACCAGTGCTGGCCACACTTTTCTCCTAAGAGGGACGGGAACTCCCGCTGTTACCTGTCAGCAGCCTGGGCCGCCCCCTGACACTCGCCATGGTCTTCATGTTACCCTTCATATTCCCTGGAGACCTCATGGCTCATCTGGGGTCTACATTCAGTCACAATGGAAGGTATTGTACCATAGGCCACACTCGGTTTCATTTTTCACGTGGCTAGAGCAGTCCCCACCTCTGCCCACCTGCAACACAAGAGCTGTGACTGTCCCTGCCACATCCTTGAGCAGCCACTTCTCACCCCCCTTATCCCTGTAGCTCAACGACATTAGCTTAGCTTAGCCTCAGCATGAAAGGGCATCTTACAACCTGAAACGTCCTTATTCATCTCTGTTCTACAGCTCTTATTAAGTCTCCCCACCCAAATCTTCACAGCTCCAGCCCCAGGGCTACCTTGTTCATAGAATCATGCCCACCACCTCCTAACTAGGTCCCAAGTGCCCATCTGAGACCTCCTCTAAGTCTTCTTTATGCTCCGCTGATATGGATAGATCCAAGACCCAGGTTGACCCTGGTATCACCCCTGGTGCGCTAGCTCCACTAACACTCTTAGGGCCTTCATGAATTGTGACCCACACATGGCTACCCATCAGTCTAGACTCTGGTTTCCACACCCCTGTGTAGAAGCCCAGCCTCTCTGGTCCRCTAGTTGTTCCACCAAATACACGGGTGGCCTGTGCTTTTGCAATATGCCCCCACCCCACCCAGACACACTCCTAGAGTAGCCTGCAATCCATTCTTCACCTGACCACCATGGCATATTTTAAGACCTAACTTGGAGTTCCTCCTCCCAGAGTGTTCCCTGAATACCATGGGGGAAATGACCCCTGCCTTCCTGTTCCCCTTGGACTGGTTCATGCAAATGCCACAGCCCTTCTGGAGTTGTAGTACAATTACTTTGATTGTGTAGCTGAGCCTCCCATTAGAATGGGAGTGTCCTGCAGATGGGGATTTTTAACACATGGAACACAGTTCTATAATCCAGTTCTCTCTATTACCTCTGTAGCCTGAGCGATTAACAAAGGCTCAACTCATTGAGGGTAACCAGTTCCCTAAATTAATGAAGTATGAATTTTGTATAGGGATTGGAAGATGGGAATTCAAATAGCCTTAAGGGTCAAGTATATATGTAGTCCCACATAATTACCATTTTTGGCACTCTTCATTCTCTTGATTTTATAATTCTAGATTAACATTTGGTGTCATTTCCTGCTTAAAGGACTTTCTTCCATGTTTGTTGTGGTGTAAGTCAGCACTGGTGACAAATTCTTTCAGATTTTGCATGTCTGAAAAAGTCTTTATTTCCCCTTTAYGTTTGAAATATAGTTTTGCTGGGTATCAAACTCTAGGTTGACAGTACTTTTCTCTCAGTACTTTAAAATGTTACTTCATTGTCTTCTCACTTGCCTTATTTCTCACCAGAAATTGGCTGTAATCCTTGTATTTGTTCCTCTATACACAATGTAACCTTTTTTTCTCTGACTACTTATAAGATTTTCCCTACATAATTGATTTCTAATCAATTGTTTTAAGCAATTTGGTTGTARTATACCTTGTGTTAGTTTCCTTTCTGCTACTTGGGTTTAGGGTGTGTTGAAACTCTTAGATATGCTGGTTTTTTWAATTTTATCCAACTTGAAAAAAGTTTAGCTAGTATTTCATCAAATTATTTCTGTCACCCACTCTCCACATGCACTGTTTACTATCCTTTAGAACCTTTAGTTATACACCTATTAGGCTATTCCAGGTGTCCCCAAAGTCCTATAATACTCTTTTGATCATTTCATAATAATTATTTTCTTTGTTTGTTCTGTTTTGAGTAGTTTTTATTTCTGTTTTTCCATATTTATCAATCTTTTTTTCCCTGTGATGTCTAACCTACTATTATTCCCCAACAGTTTATTTCTTATCTCAGAAATAATAGTTTTCACCTATAAAATTTCTCTTTAGGTCTTTTTGTTATTTCCCATGCCTCAAATTAACTTTTTTTTTCTAACCCATGTCCTTTTACACACTCTACTTAGTGACTCTGAATCTGGACTTTTTCCAGCCAGATTGGTAGAAATGGGCACCATTTCTAGCCCTGTGACCACTTGACTACTGTGACCTCCACTCTGACTGGGGGCGGGGTTTGGTTTAGTTTAGGTTTTTTTTTTTTTTTTTTTTTTTTTTGCTTGGTAAAAGTAGTCTTCTCACTTGTATATACTGATTAGCCCTCTACTGAGGAGGGACCTCTGAAACTCTCCAGAACTTTCTCTATTCAGTTTCCTCCCCTCTGGCATCTGCCTGAGGTACTCTAGACTCCTGGACTCTCCGCTCCACCTCCAAGCTGTCCACAGAGGCTGCCTGTGTTCCCTGCTCCCTGCACCATGGCCCGGAGACTCTCAAAGCAGCGGACAATCACAGGGCTCCTCACCTTAGCTTCCTGTCTGTCGTTGTATGGCGTCCAGTGTCTTGAAAATTGATACTTAATATGTCCTGACTGGTTGTTTCTGGTGGTAAAGTAAATCTTATTCCTAGCATTTCATCTTGGTCAGAGAAACAAAGTCTCCATGCATAAGATAAAAAAAAAATGGTGCACCTTAGGATAATCACTTAGGAAGTGGTGAGGACCATGGCCAATTGGGGAGCACAAATACCAGCTAAATGAGACGGTGGGCATCAGACCCAGCTAACTGTTGCCACAATAATAGAAAATGGAGCTTGGATCACCACATCTTCCATTTGTTTCTAAAGAAACTGGATTTGTGAGACTTTTCTTGATTTTAAGACACAGCATGGACCAAACCTATTATTATATCTATGGCTGGATCTGCCCCACCAGCCACCAGTTTGACCCCTGGGTGTTAAGGTCTTTCCTTTGAAGAAAAACTGTGGTTGGTCTCTAGAGCATTCCCTTTCTGCACTCATGGACATGTTCTATAGCTTTACTCTCCATTCTGCAGCAGCCCTCCCTTTATTCATAGGGCATATGTTCCAAGCCCCCCAGGAGATCCTGAACCCATGGATAATACCAGACCCTCTATGTGCTGTGCTTTTCCTACACATACACACCTCTGTTGATATTTAGTTTAGAAACTAGACATAATAGGAGATTAACAATGCTAAGTAATAACAAATAGAACAATTATAACAATGTACCATTTTAAAAGTTTGGGGAATAAATCTCTCTCTCTCTCCCTCTCCCTCTCCCTTTCTCCTATATTTTCAAGCACTATTGACCATGGGTAACTGAAAATGTGGAAAGCAAAACTGCAAATAACTGCCAATGAGGAGGAACTACTATGGGAGTCACCACATACCTGTATTGAAATACGGCTAGTGCTCTGCAGAACCAGATTTTACATTTATTTTACACTTAAATATCCACATGTGGCTAGAGAAAATTCTTCGAAAGATTGAACAATCTTCCACAATACTTGTCCCTAGAGACAGACAGCTCCAAAAGCCAATCCTCACTCCTCTTTTCCTTCATCCCTCCCATCAAGGGAAACCTAATCGTCCTAGATGTATTTTTCTTGAGCTACTCCGACATTCCTACCTACTCTAATATCTTTCTTCCTGCTCCTTCAGGATATTTTCTTTTGTCATCATGAGCTCTGAAAAGGAACCTCAGAGAATGCCCAGAATAGACATCTCAAAGTAGTAGCACCCAGAGTAAATTTATTCCATAAGTTAATTTAAAAATATTTGAGTCAATGTTTAAAAATTGAGATATATCACATAAAACCCATATTTTCCGCTACTCGTGGTAAATTTGAAGATTGGACATCAACGGGTCCACATTGGTTGATGCTGAGTAGCTGTAGCATTCTTCRAAGGGGACCTGACATCAGTGTCCACCATCCCCTATTGTTTCACCAACAATGAAAGCTTTAGGATGGTTACTTTTTAATCATAACTGTGCTATACAATCCTCCTTCTAGCAGAGGATTGTATCTCCATAGCACCTTTTATTCAAAGGTGGTAAAGTGAAAGACAAATCCACAGGCCTTAGTTTTTTAACCTGGCCCATTTACACATTCATATCATCTGTCTGGCTCCTATAGGAATTTGAGTAGGTGAGACCTTCACCAGAGGAATGAGAAGGACAGGTCACAATATCTGTACCACAACTTCCCATTTCAGCACCCACAGCAGACATCAGTAATCARTCACAGCAGACATCAGTAATCCATCATGGCTGCCTTTCTCAAGACTCCTCTAACACAATGCCCCTGTCAGCCATTCCCTAGCAGTTAGTATTGACCTCCACCCCCATCCTTCAACTGCTTTCATTCTCATTTTGCTGAGCTGGAAATGGAGGTACAGAAAACTCAAGCCATCATCAAGTCAAYGGTGACACCATGATGAAACCTCAAGCCCCCTGACCCTGGTACGGTTGTCACAGGCCCAAGCTACCCCATCAGAAAGACGCGAAATGAAAACATGGTTCCAGCTTGAGTTTGTCCTTGACAAGAGCATCCACCTACCAGCTGGGCTCTGTCTGTGGCTTCCTTTCTCTAAGTCACCATCTTCCCATGGCCTGCCATTGTCCTCACCCGTCCTACCTGCCTTCCCCGTTCAAGTGACTGGTTACGTGCTACTGACTCATCTACCCCRCAGATAACTGACTCCCCATTCCAAACTCTGCCTCCCAAACTGCCCATGGAGTCGGGGAGTACTTACGGTACCCGGAGCTTAGGGAACTTCTGGATGTCATTTTCTGTCAGGTTCTGAAAGGAAGACACACGTGGCAGACGGGTTACAACCCACAGGTGGGGCCCGAAGCCAGGCACAAAGTCACACGTCAGACACTAGACAGTAGCGGGGACCAGAGAACTGGAAGAGCAGCCAGGATCTACTTTTCCAAAGGGAATCCCAAAGTYGGGAACTTAGGTGAAACAACCCAAATTCTAAATGTTGACAGATAATTTTGAATTCAATAACTAAATAATTGCAGCGAGGTCTAAATCTGGGCAACCAAATAGAATTGGTTGTGTGGGCTGATTTAGCCATATCATGAATGTTTCCTACTCTTCTAGACCAGGATTCAGAGCCCTCCTCAGTTTTCCTGAAGGGGTCTTGGCAAGGTGCTGGTTGGATTCATCTGATCCGGCTCTTTCTGACCCTGCTTATCAGACCTCCTGAGGCAAGATGGAGAGGGTGAAGGGTGTCAGCCAAAAGTCCAGAGGAGATCAGGCTTTGGCCAGGCCTGCTTTCTCTCTTCCCTCCCTCCTCCTCCTCACCACTGAGCATCAGCATCTCCTTCTTCCAGAATAGTTCTACCCCAGGGTGACACATTCACCATCCACCATGCGCCTCCTGCCTTTCCCCTTCCTCCTGTCTGCARTGCACACTGAGGCCTGGAGTTGAAGTAGCCAGCTCAGAATCTTTAGTTCAGGAGCCACCAATTTTCTGCAGGCTGAATGGAGCCTGGTTTCTTGATGACTTCCTTGAGCATCTCACCAGCTGGGGCACCCACCTGTACCTTTATTATTATTTGAGAAAGATCAACTCCTAAGCCACTGTGGTCAGGTTTTGGCGATGTGCAGATGCATATAGTAAGCACATTTCCTCTCCTGCTTATGCCTTCTGGAAGCATAGTAACCCCTTCCCTAGCACACCAGATTCTATCAAAAAGTGGTGGCAAAACAGATTTAGAAGACCTACTACTCTGAGGAAGGAAGGAAGGAAGGAAGGAAGGAAGGAAGGAAGGAAGGAAGGAAGGAGGGGGGGGGACGAAGGATAGCTAATTCCTTCAATAGCAGAATGGCCCTGGATGTTCCAAAGCTGGAAGGAATAACAGATGGGCCATTGGAGCTTAGACCAGGAGTTCCAAATTGTACCCAGAGCACTTGTGATAGAGGGTGGATTTCATAGAACCTGCCTGTAAATATTCCAGTTCCTAGAGCAGGCACTGAATTCTGCGACCTACTCTCATGCTCCTATCACCCCTCCTGTCACTTCCTCATGGTCACACAATGAGTGGAATGTGTGCATTCTCCAAGGACTGATGGATGCCAGAGAGTGGAGCAGAGCAGGTGGCTGCTCAGATGACATCTCTCTACCAGGGAAACAGCAGTCCCATCACACCTGACACCCACGGAATCAAGGAGCTGAGAGGAACCATCATCTGCTGTGACCCCATGTGACATCCTCAGTCAACAGATGAGGAAGCAAGGGAGGCTCAGAGAGGGCAAGGGCTTGCTCAGGGTGGCCCACTAGCCAGGACCCTCCTCAGAGACATCTCACTCCTTTCTCACTCAACAGTGATGCCTCTTTTCTCAGTGCTAAAGGTACAAGAAAGAAATATTTGTGTTTTGTAGYAATTTCAAGAATAGCAACAGCAGAACTCTAGGAAGTCTATTGGCTTAAAGTTCAGTATGAGCAAATAAAATTGTTAAAAACCCATACAATACTAGAGTAAAGTGATAGTGTGATTAGGCTGTGATAAGTAACTGTGTATCAGGGCTGTGACTTAGGACAAATCTCATCGCACCTTTGCCCATGTTTTCTTATCTGGAAATGAGGTGGTCGGAGGCCTTCCTGACGATACTTTCTCCTATAAAATGAGCTTCCAGAGCCAGGAATCATGTCTTAATCACGTCTTCACCCATCACACAGCAGGGGCCAGCATGGAGGAAGAGCTCAGCGAAGTGCTTGTCAAGGGAGCCCATGGGGAGGGAATGAATGACTTAGCTGGGTGGCCTGACATGGCTCCTGACAGCAGAACTCAGCCTAACAGGACTCCATGTTTAGTCTCCGCACAGGGCCCAGAGATGCCCAGAAAGGGCAGGTAAGTATGGGTGGTCACAAGCTCACTGTTCCTAAGGAAGTTCCAGCAGATGTTGGTGGCGGGGGTGCCATCTAAGACTGGGATGGGTGTCCTGAGGGGCCACTGTCATGTGATTGCTTGGTCCCTTCTGCTGGCCTGAAGTCTCATGGCCATGTCCTTTACTGACCACGACTTACAGAGGCACACAACTTAGTTTATCCTCCTCACTCTGAATCCTGATTGGAAACACCCTACACCCACAGAACCCTTGAAGTCTTGTTCCACTTCTTTACTAAGGAGTGGGGCAGAGTGCCCAGAGGGTGGCTAGGTACAGCCCAGGCTCTCTCTTGCCCACAGGCCAAGTATCCTCTCCAGGGAAATTCTCAGATCCCCTCCCTGGCCAAAGCTCAGTGCCTCTGCCTCCACCTTTGGAGTTGGACCCTTTCCTTTAATGGCTTGGTCCTTAAGTGTCCCTGCACTTCGGTCTTACACTTTATTTATTTTATTTAATTATGTATTTATTTTGTGGTGCTGGGGATGGAACCCAGGGCCTCGTGCATGCTAGGCAAGAGCTCTGCCACTGGGCTATATTCTCAGCCCTTCATAACGCTTTTAAAACTATAATACACTGAAGACAGCATTATCAAAAGTGTGTTTGGTGTGTGTATGAACTCACTAGTGAGAAAGAGGAGAGTAGTTGAGATGATGAAGGTGATGTCCCCCACAGGGACCAGGTAGACCAGCTGTCCCTACAGCCATTGGGAAAAGCATAGAACATGCTTGGCTTCAATGCATCCGAGAGATGCATTTATTTGCTCATACTGAGCAAATGCATTTGGCCAGAGACTTACCAAAAACCGGGCACCATCGATGTTGAACCTCTTCACTGCCTTCTCGCAGTCCTTGTAGTTCAGCTGCAGGGAGAAAGGAAGGTGCCGTCAGTGACAGGCAAGCTCCTGCCATCAGTTTCCCTCCCTTGCCTGCCCCAGAGCTTAGTGATTTGCAGTCCTGGTGGCTGGAGAGCCTCCCCTTCTCCCCGTCTAACAGTGGGGCTTGGTCCCCAGCGCAGCCCTGCTGTAGCCACTCCCTTGAGACTGCCTGAAATTGAGGAATTGCTCACCCTCGGGTTCTGGGGCTGAGCCCTCAGGGAAGATACTGCCTTTGAGGCCCATGAGAGGCCGGCCATATGCTCCCGGGGAAGTGGGGAGGAGCTGACAGCAGAAAAGAAGCACCATCGGTGGTCTTGTCCCCAAAGACCACCTTGGTGACCTTGCTGCGTCTCCCACAGTCCTTCTTCCCTTGCATATTTCCGAACAAAGTGAGATGATGATTTCTCCTCTTTTTCCTTCTTAAGTACTAAAAATAAGAATACCAGCTCTGTCTACTGTTATGACAGACTCATTTTAAATGCGATTTTAATGGCCACAAGATGATTTAATCACCCCCCTTACTGCTGAACATTTAGGTTGTTTACCAAACTGCCACTCTAATAATGAAAAGTAAAACTGCCAATTAATACCAAATGCTTGCTCTGTGGCAGGCACGGTTCTGAGTGCTGAAACCATTCTTTAAGTCACTCAGTCTTCCCGCTTTTCAGATGAGAAATCAGGGCTCAGAGAGTCAAAGAACTTGCATGAGATTCCTTGGGTTGCAGGTGACGGAGGTGGCACTCGGACTCCAGAGCATGGCTTTTAGTCTGTCAGAGACATCCTCCTCTCTCCTTTTTTCCCCCTGTGATGCTGAGGATTGAACCCAGGGCCTTGCGCATGCGCATGCAGCAAGCACTCTACCAACTGAGCTATAGCCCCAGCCCCAGGAACATTCTTTTTAATAACAATATTACTTACATATGGTAGGTGAAGTAAATAAATATAAGTACAGTTTAATAATCCACCCAGATCAAAATATAGAGCACTATGAATATTCTTTTGCATGAGTCTTAATCTGACTATTTAAGATAAGTCAGATTCTCAGAAAGGTTGTAGGATCAATAGCAATAATCATTTTTAGGGTCTTGGTTACTTTGCAAAACCAACTGGTAACTGTGTGAAAGACCTATTTCACCTTGTCCTCAATAACTCAAAATATCTCTAAACCTCTAAACTTGATGTCTGGAGTACTGAGTGTTAAATATTTGTACTTGAGGGTTCTAGGTTCTCCTTCAAAAGCATGGACCTCATAGTTTGTAGCCTTCTTTGAGGACAAGTTCAGGGCTGGGGATGTAGCTCATTGGCAGAGGGCATGTCTACCACGTGTGAGGCCCYGGAGTCAAACCCCAGGGCCAAACCCCCCAAAATTCAGTGAATCTAATTTAATTGAAGTAAGTTCTTATCTCATGGCCAACATACACTTAAAGTAAATACGATTGTTGTCACCATTTGATTGAAAGAGCAGAGTGAATGTTATATTCAGAAAGCTGGGTTAGAGGTCAGTGCTTAAAGCACTGTGGACCCTGGCCTCTCTGATCTACATGCAGGCGTTTTTTTTTTTTGAAGAGTCAGTTGACTTTAATTAATCATCTTTGCTGTCATCATTATCAGATGAATGGCTGGTTTTTCAGAGTCCCGGCTTGGACTCTAGATCCTTAGATAGACTTCCAGACTAGATCCTAGACGTTGGATTCCTAACYCGTGAGATCTGGGCTGGGTCCCTGGAGTCTGTATTCTAACTAGCATCGTCTRTGATTCAGATGACCGTCCAGGCTTGGTAGCACTGACCTAGGGAAGTTACCTGGCTTTGTAGGTGGAATGGCTGAGGTCCAGGAGGGGAAGGATCTCTCCTAAGCTCACACAGTGAGCTGGGAGCTGCGCTGGGATTGGAACAATGGCTGGGAGCCAGTGCCCCACCCCACCCCACCCCCCACAGCACAGCTTAGGGTGCTCTCCTGGCAGGCCCAAAGGAATTGGAGGAGTTAGAGGCTTCATGTGGCCTCAGTCCTTGGGGTCCTACATGCCAGATATAGGATGAGACCCACGTATCTGAGGCACTGGACACAAAACTCTGCCAGTCTGTCTGGTCGTTCCCCAATAGAGGCCAAGTAATGGACCAGGAGCTGGGGAAATTGAATATTAATTAGGTCCCTCTCTCTGCTGACTTCCTTGGGCACATTATTTTCTTTAATCCTCATGATCATCCCATTGGTTAGTTGTTAGTATCTCTATTTTCTTGGGGAGGAATTTAAGAATCAAAGGAACCCAAGGAAGTCACCAAGCCAGCAGATRGCAGCGGCAGGACTCAAACCAAGGCATGCCTGACTCCAGAGGTGGTGGAAGGTGTCCTGGAGCATGGCCTGACCCTCTGCTTCTGTGGACATTGCACTTGCTGACCGATGCTGTAAATGGCTCATTCCAAACGACTCTGTGGTCAGTTTCCCTGGTCAGCTCCCTCTCTGGGGGCTGGGGCTAAGGATGTGAAGGTCTTTTTCCATCTCTGTGCTGGGCTGGGACTTCCAAGAACACAGGTCATCCTCAGCCCCCTTGTCCTTTTATTTCAGGAGGGGAACTTGCTCCAGCACTATGCATTTCTGCTGGGATCTGGGATCTCTGAGAACTCCTTCCCCAACTCAGGCAGTCTGGTGTCTCCCTGGATCATCCCTGACTGTGGGCCGTCTGCCTGCTCCACTGGGAACTTGACCAACAGAACCTCAGTCATTCAACCGGGTTGCATAATTTTCCTAGTCAGCCTTGAAGATGGCACCTGCCTAAGCCCCACCCCTCCGCCTCTCCCCAGACTTTGCCTCCATGACCCTAAATTCCTTTGTCCTTCCTTCAGTGAGCTAATGGGTCATCTTGGAAGTTTTCACCTTTTGTCCTGACCTGTGGTCTACCTTGAGAAAAGCACTTGGAAATGCTATTCGGAAGTCAGTCCCCCAGTGATCTTTGTGCCTACCATGCTGAAAGCTAGGTTTATGATAACTCATGGGGCGAAAGTAACAGAAATAAAATGCAYAAAAAGTGGCAATAACAGGATCTGCGGGCTGAGGCCCCCCATGCCACACCCAGTTCAGCACGCTAGCACTTTCTCCTATAGGTTGGGGAAGAACAGTTGTGACTGTAAACACCATCGCACTGAATCGATCCCAGGTTTGACCACGTGTCCCAGGGAGTCTATTCCAGCCCCTTGGATCCCAGTTTGCCCAGGAGAAATAGGAAGTTGAATTAGATGAGTTCTATGGTCTTAGCTTTATCATCGCATCTGTATCGTGGTCTGGAAGATCAACTGAATTTGATGCCAGCCTGCATGGAAGGGGGTGTCAGAAGCTCAAAGACCTGTCATAAGACATTTTGCCCCATAGACAGGGGTAGAAGGTCTCTAACCAAGTCACATGACTTGAGGTCTGCCCAAGCAGCTATGTGGTCCCCATCAAGATGACCAAGCATAAGGACCCTTGAACATGCCTTCCAAGTTTGGAAGGTCAGAGAACAACACTGGTCACCGCTCTTCCAGAAGCTTAGCTTCTGCCTCTGCCTCACTGAGCCCCACGCCTCCGGGGGCTCAATTTCCCTCCCCTATTCCTGCCACTCTTAGCAGTTTTCTGCCTGTCTCTGGAGACTCGTGAAATTCCAGTGAGACTCTGGCTGATGACAGAGCTTGAGGACTTCTCTTTCAGGGCCATGAGCAATGAATGCCCAAACACCGTAAGTAACATGGTTCCCCGTGGCCCTCCATCCATCCCTCCTCCCCTGTCCATGCCTCCCCCTACCTCAGGACTCTGTCTGCCCTTTCTAGTAAGCAGACGTGACCTCATTAGCCGTCATAGCAGTTTTCCGCATCTCAGAGCAACAACTTGGAAACCAAAGTGGCACCGCTCGACTCCTGTCTCCAACACATGTGGTCCCTGGGGCTTTGGGCCATTTAACCTCCCTGGGCTGGTTCTATAGCTCAGCCAACGGGCTGATAGTATTGACCTCACAAGACAATGAGGCATGTGCAATGGGACAGTGGCTATATAAAGCACCCAATTCAGATCCCAGCACACAGTAGGGATTCGAAAGCTCCCTCTCCAGAGCATCCTTCCCTCCAGAACCCATTGCCAGGGAAACACAGTGCTCTCCACAGCACCCACTTGGCCAACAAAGTTGCCTAAGGTGGGTGCCTTGCTATCTTAGACTCCTCCCGGGTTCTGCCCGGGTCCATCTCCAAGCCTCCGCCAGCTCACAGAAGGCACTAGCAGCCCGATCACCTACAAAACAGCAGAGCTCACCTTCTTGAAATAGTCCGCAAGGCTGTCTGAGTCCCAGGCCAGGACCTCTGAGCGGAAGGGCACATTCCTGAGTGCCATGGCTGTTGTCCTGGCAGGAAGCTCACCAGCTGGGCCRAGGTGCAGCACCCATGGACAGAGAGAACCCCTAAATCCACAAGTTGAGGTGTCCTTGGCTCTTCTAATTCCCAGCCACCCTCGGGAGCACCCCTTGTTGGAGTAGGGGCCGTTTCTGCCGTCACCAGATCCCAGAAAGCAACGGCTTCCTCTGCAAGCAAATATGGTCTCTTCTCAGAAAACGACTCAGCCAGCTTCCTTTACCACTTCCTCTGCTGGCTTCTAAATAAGTAAACAAGGAAGCTGGGCTTCGGGGGCTCGAATGCTGAGAGAGGAGACAGGCTTGGTAATTCCCCACTGGTTCCAGTCACCCTGGCCCAGTGGGAGGGCAGTGATGGAGACCTAGGCTGCAGGGTGGGTCCCAGTATTTTGCCTTCGACTCTTGGCCCCCAAAGCTCTGGACCCCTCTCCTGCCTGGCTGGGGCTTTGCAGATACAGATCTACTTTGACAGTTGACCTAAAATAGAGACAATTCCCACATTACTGAGCTGGGGGGAGGAAGACAGCCTCTTAGTGCCTCACGGCCTCCTCCCCTCCTAACCCTCCATTTCCATCCAAAGGTCTTCAGCTGCCTCTTCACTTCTTTCAGGATGAGAGGGTCTTGGGTGAGTGGCGGGTTGGGCACCCAGGGTTGCACGGGCCCCTCGGTGGGGCGAGCAGTGCTCACTGCCTGGTGTGAAGGCTTCTGGGCTGGACAGTCTTAGGCAAAGGACTGAAAATCTAGGCCTCTCAGCTTCCACAACTGTGAAGAAAGAAAACGGGGATTCTACGTGCAACGCTGAGATGCATTTCACTGGATATACTTAAAGGGAAAAATTAGAAAGAAAAAATGTAACAATTTCTGTTTGACGGTGTCGTATATTCTATTCACTGGGTTTCCACCTTATGTGCTGACTGTTGGCTCCTGTGTCCTACTGATCCTACCACATATTCTAGCCAAGGAGCACATCCCCTGAGGTAGGAGACGGGAATCTGCTGCTTTCTTCCTCCGTCTGAGACTCTGTGTACTTCTCATAGACTGAGCAGCTCGTTGGCATGGGTGAATCCTGTGTCTAAAAGCAAAATGTCCATGCAACATGGTGGCCTCTAAATACAAGTTAGCTTCTTCACCCAAAGCTCCATGCATGTGTAAGCCCACGCACGCACGCGCACGCGCGCACACACACATGCGCACACACGTGCACCATCTGTCACAGTGTCAGAGGAAGGGGTCAGCCTCTCTGCTCCTACTGAGTGATGCTCTGTCAGTGCCCACGGTGATGCCTGCCTTCTGAAGGCCTTTCAAGAGCAGGTTTGGCCACCCATGGTTTCCATCTTACATGTCGTCTAGGGGACCCCGTTATTGCTGTCATGTGCCTGTCTCACTTCAGGGTTGTGGGATTCAGGGAGATGTGCGTTCAGTCTCAGTCTCAACACTTGGAAAGTGGTCCAAAATGGTGAACAGCTATTAGCCTCACTTCTGAGGGCACCGGGACATCAATCCAGGCTCTCCACAGGGAGTGGTTTCTAAGAGCTCTCCACAACCTAAGAGCTCGCCCTGGTGAGGGACCTCRCTTCATCTTCCCAATCCCTGGCACAGCAGGCATTTGAAGACGGAGGGAACAAGGGAAGCATGTTCAAGTAGAATAATCAAAGACAGCGTCACCACATGAACTGGGATTTGAGGAAGACCTTGGAGGATGGAGCCGACAGAGGGAATCCTGGACCTGTCAGTCAGTCCTCTCTCAAAACACAGCACCTGTGGAAAGCAACATTGCAGACCATCCTTAGAAGTCGAAGCAATAATAATTTTTTAATGATGCTCATTCCAACTCAGGAGAAGAAAAAAACTATGGAAAAGCAGCAGTTGGAATGAAGCTCTCATTAAATATTAGGCTCCTTTGGAAGAATTATCCAATAAAAGTGGCTGAGATGAACAATCCCTGGAGCTCAGTGAGAAGGGCCCCCCAATGGCTCAGAACCCTGGATGACAATGACGATGATGGCGACCACTCTTAGGCAGAGCCCTGAGCCCGTGCCAGGCAGTGAGCTAGGAACGTCCCTCTGACAGTGTCCCCTGTGGGCACTGCTGTTACTCCTGCTTCACCACAGAGAAGACAGGCTCAGGGAGGGAGGCGAGGGGCCTACTTCCTGCTTCCCGCCAGCAGGCTATGCAACCAGGTCTCACCTAAAATGTGACTCAGTCTCAGCCCCTGGGCCCTTGCCATCTGTCCCCTCAAGACTCTGAGAAGTCACGTGAGTTGCCCAAAGTGGAGTCGGGGTTCAACCCAGGTTTCTCGCCTGAGCCTGCGCAGACTCCCTCTATCCACGAGGCAGCTCACAGTGTCTCCCAGGAAGAGCAAGTGAGGCCGCCAACCTCCTCTGGATGTGAACAAGCTCAGAAACGTCTACTGCACTTGGTGTGCAGGAGGCGGGGGGGGGGGTGTCTGTGCCCGCTCCCCACACAGAGCAGCCAGGCCTCCAGAGCAGGTGACGTAGGGGAAGCTGGTTGCGTCAGGCCTTTCGTCTTCCCCAGTCTCCGGTGGGCAGGTTGCCCAATACTCACAAGTTTCACATCTCCTGGCCCCAGAAGGACAGGGCCACTTAGCCCCCAGGGAAAGCAGAAGGGTCAGTACGGCCCTGTGCAGGCAACTCATGGGAGCCAGCCTCAGTTTCCTCACCTGGAAAATGGACAGTCCTGAGAACAGTCCTCCACAGTGACAACGCTGTGAAAATGCCACCTCAGTTTGGTTTAGAGCATAGGTCTGTTGTCTGCGAGCATGAGGCAGAGTAGGGGTGGRGACTAGGGAGGGCACAGTGCCTTAAAGCAGTAAGCAACTCGAGCTGGGACACTCTCTGCCATCCCATCCCACTGTCTCCCCTCRCCAGGTGGAAAAACCCAGAACTCACGAGGGAGCAGGTCAAAAGGACCACGAAGTCCTTCCCAGGCTTGGCAATCTGCACCGTCCCTCGGATCTGCAGCAAATGGGTCGCAGAACCCTCTGTATATAGTGAAATCCCCAGACGCCCGAGTCCCTTATATAAATGTCACAGTGTCACAGTGTCGGTGTGTAATATTCTCTTCTACAGGACTTACAATAGTAACAACTCCACAAGGAGTTGTTATACCTGATTGTTTAGGGAATAAAGGCCAGAATAAAAGAGTGTCCCAGTCATCCAGATGCAATGTTCAAAACTATTTCCCATCAGCAGTCAGTACAGAACCCGMGGGTGTGGAAGGTCGACTATGTACCTCGGGGTTGAGAAGGGGTGGTGGTCTCTGGGCACCCTGAGAACAGCACCGCACTAGTACCCGGGGCAGGATCACAGGACAGGTTCTCTCACGGGCATCCAGGGGTGGCTGTGGACAAGAAGCAACACCCTCAGGGAGGAACAAGTCAGCTCATCAGACCTAGGGTCCGAAATTGGATGCAGGGACAGCGGAGTACAACCCAGATTGGAGGAGCCCCCCTTCCCCCCTCTGTCTCCCTGTCTCCCAGACCCACAGCAGAACAGGTGAGCTGACTGCCTTTCTCCAGCTCGTGTCAGAGGTGAGAAAAGGGACAGCTCATTAACAGAGAGAGAGAGACCTGGGACTTGCAGCCCATGTGTGTTCAGGTGGGGAGGGATCTGAGCAATTAGTGTCCAGGAGAAGGAAAAGTAGGGACTCCACAGACGATAACGTGCTGAGCTTCTTGGGTCAGGAAGCTAAGGAGTTAGCAGGCAGGTGGGCAGAAGTGCTCCTTTGATCTGATGTGACCAGGGCCTCAACCAGGGCAAAGACGAGAGCTGTGGCCCACAGAGGGTGAGGACTTGGGGTGCTGCAGTCAGTCAGAGGGTTTCCTCCCACCTTCCTCCCCCTTCACCTCCTCCAACTTCTCGTGGCTTGGATTTATCTTCAGAGGCTGAGCTTAGGCTCGTTGGAACTTTCCGGAGGGTTTGCGTAGGTTTGCCCGTTGGACCACTGGAGGCTGCAGCTCTCAATCCCCACAGGGAAGGGACAGTCTCCCCTCCATTCTTAGAGGCAGGCAGCAGAAATAGCATCCGTGCCTGGGATCATTCCAGATGGCAAGGGGCTCTAGCGGCATGACAGGGTCCAGTGGAGTGAGGGCAGCATAAAGTCCTGAGGCACAGGCAGCCCTGCAGGAGGGCCCAGAGCCCTGGAGCTGCCTCCGCTGAGGTGCTGGGCAGTGGGAAGCCCCAGTGCTCACCAGTGCTCTGCAGGCCCTGGGCTGGGAGGAGACCCCCACCAGGCCTTCTCCAGACCAGGCCTCGCTCTGCCTTCACAGTGGCCCACGGCCTGCTCCTGCCACAGCCTGGACAGTGGCTCACCTCCCCCGTCCTGGGATAACGCAGGGGGAAAGCATGAGCTAGCCACGTTGGCCAGGCAACCACAGGAAGCAAAATTTTCCACTTCCTCAGAGCTGACAATTTCATTCTTTAAAAAAAGATCTTTTTTTTTTTTCATCCTCCTCTGTTTCTCCTGCTTTGCTGTTTGAGCCGAGGTGCCTCCGAAGTTCAAAGGTGAGTGGGAGGAAGTACATATTTGGGCTTCCTGTCTAACCTCCCCTTCTTATCTGCCCTGTTTTTCACTTTGGCAGCCTGAACCCAGATACGTCTACTGCAAAGAGAAACTCCCAAGTGTCGGTTAAAGGGTGTGGGCAAAGGAGAAGAGGGGAGGGCAGCCATCTCGGATCATGGAGGAAACCCCCTGGGCTTCTTCCTCAGCAAGCTGGGGCAGGACAGAGCTGGAGGGAGGGGGGTGAGTGTGAGAAAAAACCTGGAGCAGGCAAAGGCAAATGTGGCCTAACGTGACTGCTTCTCTACAAGGAAGAGCTGGGGCCCGGGTCGTGAATACGTGCACCCGAGACCAAGGGGACATTTGCAATCACCAAGAATAACAAGAATCAGAGGCTTGGGGTAGGTCTGGGCAGAAGCGGAAGAATCCAGAAAGCACATGATTTTCTAGCAACTATTCCATGAGGACTCAAGAATCCAGAGAGAAGAAATGCTCAGACCTTACACATATTACATCATGTAACTCTGTCATATCTGCTCTTTGTGGAAAGGCTATCAAGTCAGACATACCCATTTTATAGATTAAAAAGGAAAGGCTGGAGAGACCAAACGCTTATCCAAGGCAGGTGAGC